TGGCAGGGGAGGAGTAGCGCGCAACTACAGCGTCGTACAAGGTCTGAGCACTCTTGTACTGACTAAAGTGCGCACGCTCGGAGGTAGGGAGGTGGCGCCGCACAGCAAGACGTGCAGCAGCGTCGCGCGTGGCCCACTGGGAGCGAACAGTGGCGTCAGCATCAGCAGCAGGGGCAGTGGAGGTGCCAGAGGTGAGGTCAAAGAGAGAGAGGCCGTCTGCCCTATCGCACTGTAAGAACAGCTGCAGGTCATCTACCCAGACGTCAAAGTCAATGGCCCTACCCTCAGCATCAAAGGCGAGAACACTAGGGGTAGCCATGACCCTAGACGACTAGCAGCGCAAACAGTAGGGTGAGGACAGTGCAGTGAAAAGGCGCTGTGCTCACCAGACTGGGCAGGTCGGGCGGCCCTGAAGGAGGGCGGCGCGGCGGCTCGGCGGCTCAGCTGCTGGGCGGCCCGGCGGCTCGGCGGCTCCGCTGCTGGGCGGCTCGGCTGCTGGGCGGCTCGGCTGCTGGGCGGCGCGGCCGCTGGGCGGCTCGGCTGCTGGGCAGCTCGGCTGCTGGGCGGCTCGGCGGCTCGGCTGCTGGGCGGCTCGGCTGCTGGGCGGCTCGGCGGCTCGGCTGCTGGGCGGCTCGGCTGTGCTGCTGCAGGGCGGCACGGCTGGGCAGCAGGTGACGGGGCCGCAGGTAAGGGCGGCGGGGCCGCTGGTAAGGGCGGCGTGGCCGCGGGTAGGGTGGCGGGGTCGCAGATAGGGTGGCGGGGCCGCAGCAGAGGGCGGCGGGGCCGCAGGTAAGGTGGCGGGGCCGCAGGTAAGGTAGCGGGGCCGCAGGTAAGGTGGCGGGGCCGCAGCAGAGGGCGAGTCAGTAGAGCTACACTGTGAGATCCCCGATCGATCCTAAGGGGGGGTACAGGCGCGTTTGCCTGGGGGGTTATGGGCGCACTGACCCGCAACTGAAACAAGCCCTTTTATCCCAATGGTCTAGTGGTTGGGATTCTGACATGGTATCAGAGCGGTCTCGGGTTCGAATCCCGGTGTATGCACATGTAGGCCGTTGCCACTGTGCTCAGTCCTGGGCCTCCCAGTGTGGGGGGGTGTCAGTAGAGCTACACTGTGAGATCCCCGATCGATCCTAAGGGGGGTTACAGGCGCGTTTGCCTGGGGGGTTATGGGCGCACTGACCCGCAACTGAAACAAGCCCTTTTATCCCAATGGTCTAGTGGTTGGGATTCTGACAGGGCGGCGGGGCCGCAGGTAAGGGCGGGGCCGCAGGTAAGGTGGCGGGGCCGCAGGTAAGGTGGCGGGGCCGCGAGGAAGGGCGGCGGGGCCGCTAGGTAGGGCGGCGGGGCCGCGCGATGGGGCGGCGGGGCCGCGAGGAAGGGCGGCGGGGCCGCGCGATGGGGCGGCGGGGCCGCGCGATGGGGCGGCGGGGCCGCGCGGTGGGGCGGCGGGGCCGCTAGGTAGGGCGGCGGGGCCGCTAGGTAGGGCGGCGGGGCCGCGCGATGGGGCAGCGGGGCCGCGATGGGGCGGCGGGGCCGCTAGGTAGGGCGGCGGGGCCGCGCAATGGGGCGGCGAGGCCGCGAGGTAGGGCGGCGGGGCCGCTAGGAGAGAGGCGGCGGGGCCGCTAGGTAGGGCGGCGGGGCCGCTAGGAGAGAGGCGGCGGGGCCGCGAAGACGGGCGGCGGGGCCGCAGAGACGGGTGGCGGGGCCGCAGTGCAGGGCCGCTAGGGCGGCTCGACGAAGTGAGGGCCCGGAGCGCGACTCGGGCTGAGCGCGCTTCGGGCAGGAAAAAAAAAATCGATGTGGTGGGCCCTAAGCACAGTTCCCAAGGGGGAACCTGCTCGATACCATGAGAAGATTTGAACAAGAATGAATGAACTATGAAATGAAGTGAGTACAAATATGAAACCCTAATTGGTTGTACCCCCTATGGAATACCCCACTATAGCCTACACAACAGCATAAGCTATAATGTTCTGACAGGGAGGGGGGGGGGGTGGGGGGGGGGGGGGGGGGGGCGAAGTGGGAGGGAAAACCATTTTCTCCATGATATTGGTTTTGAGAAAGGAAAACAGAAGGGGAAAAGATCATATTGGGGCCGAACAGTGCCAGAAGGGTGATCAAAGTAAGGCCGGAAAATCTCGACCGTAGGATTTCAACCCGGAGCTGACCAAACGACTCGGCAAACAAGCCGAGCCATAAGTAAAAGATAATTGTTAAAAGAAACATAATTTTGTGTTCGTATTGTTTATTGAGGGTTTTGACCGCCACCTACTACAGCGCGCGCGTCGCCTTCTTCTGGAATTGAATTCGGCGTGTTAAATCGTGATTACGTAACAACATAATATATTCTGGGTGATGCATACCACCTACCCAATCGGAAACCACAGAAAAAAATAAAATATTACCCATTCGGAAACGGATGCGACTCGGGAGGGATCAACCCTAAATACCAGGAAGGTCCATTTTTTAGGGTTTATCCATCCCGAAATTGCATCCAGGTTCCCAATGAGTTTTAGTTTTTTTTGCTGCCCTAGAGTTCCAGGTAGAGTCGGCTCGCTAAACGACACGCGAGCGAAAATGCGAGCCGGTACATGCCACTAGTAACATAATTACGTGCAATGAATGAAGACTTTCTGTTAATTCCTCCTTGCGAAGCGGTTTGGTAATTTCCGGGCCTCTCGGCCCCTGGTTGATCACCCCTCTGGCACTGTTCGGCCCCTGTATGATCTTCTCCCAAACAGAAGCGACACGGGGAGGGATAACAGCCGTAAACACGGGAAGTCGCCAGTGGTCGGGGTTCATCCGTCACCAAGTCGCTTCGGTTTGTTACTGGGTTTGGTTTTCGTTGATGCCAGACTTCTGTTTTCCGAACCACACCTGTCATCCCTGACCTGAGTCCACGAATCCGAGCCGAGGAACAAACCCCTGTCCCTCTGACAAGGTGAGCGCGATACGTTGGGCGGGATACCTCAGCGAGCTTGCTTGGGGAATTGTTCTCTTTCCAGCAAGTGTTACTGGGCGGTTTACCACGCGATTACGTGATATAGTGCGGTGCAACGCTGTACAAACTGTCCAGCCTATTCAAGAATTTGGAGTGGAAAACATTTACTCGTGAAGATACTGTTGAGAGTGCAACAGTGGCGGAGCCCTGACGGCACCGTCGCATCGCATCGCAGTAAGGTGATCCCGTTCAGCCTTCAGCGGCTCCACGGCCGGCCGGCTTCAATCGCCAGTAGTAGTAGAGCCTTCTGCTGCTGCAAGCATGACAGGGTCATGCGCGAGTTTTTCCAAAGGCAGTCCCCAATCTTCCAGCTGTTTCAACTCCCAGATTTCCCAAAGCTTCATAGCTTTGCTTCCCGATGCGATCGACCCCGAATCACCATCTGTACGCGCCAGATTATCCTATCGTCGCGTGACCCGCGAAACTTATACTGAGGAATAAGCAAGGCCTTCGCGATCCGTCTATTAGATTTTCGAGTTTCCTTGTTCGCTAGTTTCCCGCGGCGCCAGTGTCCTTTACGGCTTAACGCGGTATTTCCGTCATTATGACGCTGGTTACGGTTCGGCGGTCTCCGCGACAGCGCCGCGCACTGACGCTCGCCGCGGCGCCGTGGCCACTCGCTGCGGTGGCGGCAGCGGTGGTGACAGTTGTCGCAATTGCCGTCACGGGGGTGGGCGGTGCGATTCTGCAGGACTCCCAAGGTGTGTCGCATCTCGACATGTCGCGGGCACGCCGTGCCTCTCGCCGTGCCTCTCGCCGTTCCTCTCGCCGTGCTTCTCGCCGTGCTTCTCGCCGTGCCTCTCGCCGTGCTCATCCCAAAACATTTTGCGAGGGGGTTGAGGTACCAAACCATGGAGTAGGGACTTCGTACCCTACTAGTTTGTGGTGTGTGTATAGTCCGTGGTATGATGATACATAATATTCTGTCGCCTTAGAACGAACCATGCCTGCCGAAACGACCGAGATATACAGTCAGACGAATGTAGGGCATGTGAGGTTGCGACAATGTCCAGGCTTTGTATGGGTAGCGCTTCTACCCTGTTCGATGCTACATTGACGGACGGGTTACAGACCCACATTGAACCAACCCAGAACGTACTTCCAACATGCGGAGATGGAGACTCTTACGATACAATCCGCCTGATAACAGTGCAAAAATCCGCCTATGCCATTTTCCGAGACTTCGAACTAACACAAACAATGACGAATAGCCTGGATTATGGGTCACACGCACCATAAATACGCTACACGACTATACATGTAGCATGTCGGAACCATCGCAAGGGGAAGTAGGCGCCGACCACATGCAATGAGCCGACCTCTTGGTTGCGATGGGAGTAGGGGGTTTGTAGAAAAACCAAGTACTTACAATGTTTCCGTAGCCCTAGCTATTGCAATGCCCCGACTGTGTACACCCGCAGTAGATACTTTGTCGGGTAGCCACAATGTTTTGGGATGACTCTAGGCCCGTGTCGTGGCTCTCACTCTGCCTCCCGAGTAGTACATGGAAGGAGGGGTACTCATGTGCACTTTCCGTCTCTCTCCCTCCTCCCTCCTCCTCCCTCCTCCCTCCTCGTCCCTCCTCCCTCCTCCCTCCTCCCTCCTCCTCCCTCCTCCCTCCTCCTCCCTCCTCCCTCCTCCTCCCTCCTCCCTCCTCCTCCCTCCTCCCTCCTCCTCCCTCCTCCCTCCTCCTCCCTCCTCCCTCCTCCTCCCTCCTCCCTCCTCCTCCCTCCTCCCTCCTCCCTCCTCGTCCCTCCTCCCTCCTCCTCATCACTTCGCCCTCCTCTCTCCTTCTCTTCCGTCTTCCTCCTTCTCCCTCTTTCTCCCTTCTTCCTCCTCCTCCTCCTCCTCCTCCTCCTCCTCCTCCTCCTCCTCCTCCTCCTCCTCCCTCCTCCTCCTCCTCCTCCTCCTCCTCCTCCTCCTCCTCCTCCTCCTCCTCCCTCCTCCTCCCTCCTCCTCCCTCCTCTTTCCCCCCTCCTTCTCCCATGCCAACGCGCAGTGCAATTCCTGCGGGACTGCCAGGGCGCGTGGGGCAATCCATCAACGACGTGGCCGGCTGACCACTCCGTCTCCAACTGGGACTGCGGGGCCCTGGAGTTCGTCTCCTGCGATGAAACCGGCATGATTGTCTCCCTGTGAGTCGTTTGAGCATGCTCAAGAGTAGTACTTCTGCATCCTCCTCGCGCATCGGTGGGTGCGGCATGATCATTGCTGTGCGAGTCTAGCTACCTGAACTGAACGGAATGGCAATGGGTACCCCATGCCATGATGGTGATACAGTAACGCGGATGATGGTGGTTCTCTGCTCTGCTGTGATGTGATGTGATGTGCCGTGGTGTGGTGGTGGCTGGCGTGACGATGGTGTGGTGGTGGCTGGCGTGACGTGACGATGGTCTGGTGGTGACTGGTTTGTGCTGCAGGGACATAGAGAACACAGACCTGCCAGGACCTATCCCCGACTCAATCAGCAAACTCAACAAGCTTGACACCCTGTACGTCCTGCCATGATCTGTCCATGCATGACCTGCCTGCCTAATTTGGACTCTTTCGCTTCTTGCTGCGCTGCTTGCTGCTATCTTCTCCTCACTTCTTTTTCTCCCGGCCCCTCTTTCTTTCTCCCTTCCGTTCATTCCCTTTCCATCCCTCTCATTCTTTTGTTCACCCACACCCTCTTCCTATGTCCCTCCCCAGCTCACTTCCGGCTTCATCTTCCACCTGCACTGCACCCACATATGCCATTCCCCTATATGCTCCTCTCCATCAACCTCCCACCTTGCCTCTCACGCCCCTCCCTCTCCGCTCCCTTCCCCTGGCTTCCCCCTCCCTTCGCTTCCCCTTCTCCCAAGCCACCCCTCCCCTCATCCCTTCCGTCCCTCGTGCCTCGCGTGCCTCCCCTCGTCCCGCCAGCGTCTTGTCACAGAGGGGCATTACCGGCTCACTGTCATCAAGCATAGGAAGCCTTACCGCGCTTCAGAAGTTGTAAGCCGATGCACTGAGCAGCTCTGGAAGTTGCAGGTGCTGAGTTTATTGTTACTTCGCACGCTTGCTTCTGCAGCGCTTTGGCCTTGCTTCTGCTCTGCTCGTCCAGACTTCTTCTGTAAGAAGCTGAGCAGCTTGCGTAGGAAGCTGCACCGCTCGTTTACGGTTCCTTTGTGGTTCACTTCACTTGAATCAAGCGTGCTTCTCTCGTCTCGTCTCATATGGTCACGTCTCGTCTCGTCTCATCCTGTGTTCGTCCCCCCCCCGTCTCGTCTTATCGTCTCCAGAGACATCAGTTTCAACTCCGCCATGTCTGGCTCCCTTCCCACCAAAGTTCTGAATCTCAAAAGCCTCACCTACTTGTACGTTGTACCACTCCACACTCCTGCTTTTATGCCCCTGTGGTCCATCCATCCATCCATCCATCCATCCATCCATCCATCCATCCATCCATCCATCCATCCATCCATCCATCCATCCATCCATCCATCCATCCATCCATCCATCCATCCATCCATCCATCCATCCATCCATCCATCTGTGTACAGTGCAAGAGCTGTTTGTACAGGACCTCCTCTCACACCCTTCCGTACGAGAGTAACTTACCAAACACACCCCTCTTCTCTGCCTTACTCCCTTCTGCCCATACCCTCCCTGTCACTCCCTGCCCCTCCGCTCCTCTTTTCTCTCCATCGCTTCTCTCCCCCCCTCTCCCTCCTGGACCCACCCCCTCCACGCCCTCCATTCCCATCCTCTCCTCCCCGTCGGCCTGTCTCGGCGCTGTGCCTACCCCGTGCAAGCACAGGGACATGAGGGGGTGCAACGTGGATGGCGCCCTGCCCACAGCCATAGGCGCTATGACCAGTCTTGTGTCCCTGTGAGTGCCGTGCTCTGCAGCCCTGCACCCACCCACCCACCCACCCACCCACCCACATAATTTTGACGCATCTCAATAACATACCTCTCAGCCGTGGTGTTGCTGCCACATACCCACCTATCTACCCACCTACCTGCCTACTCACGTACCTACTTACCCACTTATTTACCTACTCACCTACCCACCTGCCTGCCTGCCTGCCTCGTTGCCTCCCTGCCTCGCTTCCTCCCTCCCTGCTTTTCTCCTGCCTTCCTCCTTGCCTCCCTGCCGCCCTCCACCTATCCCAACCTGCCTATCTGCCTATCGACCTTCCTGCATGCTCCTATCCTTATGCCTGCCCGCCTGCCCGCCTGCCTGCCTGCGTTCTGCCATGCCTCCTCACCCACCTGCGCTGCTGCTCATCACTGCAGGTATCTGTCGCGAAACACTCTCACGGGGCCCATTCCAGCATCCCTGGGAGACATCTCGCCACTTATCGAACTGTGAGCGACTCAGAAACAGTAACTCACATTGATTGCCTGTGTTTTTTAACTTGACAATATGCCCGGGTACCGAGTTGGCCCTGAGCTAAATAACTCTTGCCAGTCTTACTCAACTCGAATTTGACTGATGTATACTCACCACCTCTCATGCATTTTGCTTCCCCCTCCACTCTATCACCCAACCCCGCACTACCACATCAATACATGACCCCATGACATCAATCAATCATCGTTCAGTGACCTGTCTAACAACCAACTCTCTGGGGCCATCCCCACAACCCTTGGCTCGTTGGCGAATTTGGAAGCTTTGTGAGTGCCCGCATGCGCGCACAATGGCACACCTCCCTTCCCTTCCGTCCAACAAGGGGCCGGTGTGGTGTGTGGGGTGGGGGGATGAGTGGGTGCGCTAAGAGGAACGCCTGCAGTGGCATATTGGTTGGTTGGATAACCACTCACCCTCGCCTGCCCTCGCCTTCCCTCGCCTGCCCTCACCCGCCCTCAGCCGTGCTCCATTGCTTGACTGCATGGTGTGGTGTGTGGATAGTGAGTCCATCCATGTGTCACTACGCCATGGTTGCTTTGAATGCAGGTTCTCCACATTGGCTCTCCTGACTTGGTCCATCCCCTCCTTTGTTATGCTCTGCTATGCCTGCCTCCCTCGTTCTGAGTGCCCCAAGTCTCGCCTGGTCTCTCCACCCGCTCACCGCTCGCTCTCGTGTCTTCTTCGTCATCCTCTCCTATTCTATTTCCCGTCTCCATCCTCCTCTTTTCCTTGCGCCCTCCTCCCATCTCCTCTTCTCGGTTTCGTTCCTCCTCCATCATCCCATCACTCCAATATCATCCCATCACTCCAATATCATCCCATCACTCCAATATCATCCCATCACTCCAATATCATCCAGGGAACTGTCACACAACCTGCTCTCTGAATCAATCCCCGCAACCCTTTGCTTGTTGGGGAATCTGTCTTTCATGTGAGTTCCACCATACACGCATCACTCCCCTCACTATCCTGTCGATTCTCTTCACTTGTGTTCCAAAAGCTTCGTTTGCCCCTCTTGTCATATCCCTACTCCCTAACACGTCTCTCCCTCTCTAACTCTCTTTCTCACTTACACCCACATACTAACACATACACACACTTTCTCCCTCACACTCACTCACATCACCCACACTCACCCACGCACACCCACGCACACACACTTCCTCAGGGACCTGAGCTCCAACCGACTGTCCGGCAGCATCCCTGGCGAGCTAAGCTCCCTTGCCAGCCTCGAACACCTGTAAGCCCCTCTTGTCGTATCCCTACTCCCTCCCTGGCCCACCTGCCTCTGAGCCCCTCATGGCATGTCATCTACTCCGTCTATCTGCCGCCACCTTTGCAGCCCTCACGCCCTCCCAGCCCAGCCCGTATCCCCTTCAAGAATTGATGGTTCATGCCATAATTGGTTTCGGTCGAACCGGCCTGCCTGTAACCCCTCCTGTACTTTTCCCGACCAGCATTGGTCAACCGTCAAACCGTGCTTGGTTCCATTTGAACCTGTTCTGGTTCTGGTTCGGCCCGGGCATTCATCAGATTTATACTCTCATTTGCGTTCGACACTTTCCTTTCTTTCTTTCTTCTTTTCTTTTCCTGGCACAAGGAATGCTCTAGTTTGTGGGAATGCTCTAGTTTGATGGGGGGAGTGGTGGAACTAGACCCAAATGGTTGAAAGCATTCGAATGAAAACCTTCTACTTAGATACACATGTCTATTCTTCTGAGTGTATTTGTATGCTATATAATATACAAAGTGCAACTAGAACTTGTAATGTAACTAGTAACTAGAACTCATATCGCTTGTCATCGTTTTGTTCCTTTTATACTTCGCTCGTTAAAGTAATAACATCGAATTGTCGTTATCTCACTTTACCTACTTCAGATATAGATCAAACATTTTTTAGCAAGATTTGTTCTGTCACATATAGCGGTGGATCAGAGATAAAAGCAGGTCTAAATGGCTTTTCTTGATAAAGAGAAAACGGTAATTGCATGTTATGATATACTCTGTGCCAAGATTGGAACCCGCGTGAACCTAGGGACGCGGCTTTGAACCGATCGAGCTGGCTAAACCAGTTTGCCCAGAACGTGCCCTGGTTTGGTGCGGCTCCAGGGTGCTTTGCTCATGCCCAGTTGGCAGGGCCTCCACAACCAGACCAGACTAGACCAGACCAGACCAGACCAGACCAGACCAGACTCACCTGTGCAGCCCTTTCTCTTTCTGTGTGGCAGGCAGCTAAGTCAGAACGAGCTGAGCGGAAGCATCCCAGAGAGTCTTTTTGCACTCGTGGGCCTCCATGCGCTGTAAGAATCTCGGGAGAATCACGAGAGTTGATCAAAGCTTGATTGGATCAGGAGTCTGCACACCATCACAATCTTGAAGGTTCTGAGTTTTGGGTTTTTGGGTTCTAACTTGCACTTGCTGGATGAACGTGGGATGAACAAGCATGGCATGAACGGGGACGCGCACAAGAGGTTGGGGAGCACTATGTGGTGCGGTTTGATAATGCTGTGCACGTGGCTATGGCCCTGCATGCATGCGTGTGTGTGTGTGTGTGTGTGTGTGTGTGTGTGTGTTTGTGTGTGTGTGTGTGTGTGAGTGCGTGTGTGTATGCGTGTGTGTGTGTGAGTGTGTGTGTGCGTCTGTGTGCGTGCGTGTGTGTGTGTGTGTGCGTACGTGCGTGTGTGCCTGCGTGCGTGCGTGTGTGTGTGTGTGTGTGTGTGTGAGTGCGTGTGTGTATGCGTGTGTGTGTGTGTGTGTGTGTGCGTGCATGCGTGTGTGTGTGTGTGCGTGTGTGCGTGTGTGTGTGTGTGTGTGCGTACGTGCGTGTGTGCGTGCGTGCGTGCGTGCGTGCGCATGTGTGTGTGTCTGTGCGTGTGTGTGTGTGTGCATGTGTGTGTGTGTGTGTGTTTGCATGTGTGTGTGTGTGTGCAGGTATCTCGATACGAACCAGCTCACCGGCACAATTCCCGCCGCCATTGGCGACCTTTTCGATGTAACAAGCCTGTGAGTGCTGTGGTAACAATAGGTAACCTGCATGCGAGTGGCATGCAAGGTGGCAGGAGTCATAAATTTATCGTCTGTTCTTATCTGGTGCTCTGAAGTTCTAAACATATGCATGGTGGCGTTCAGACACATGTCCAGTGAAGCAGCGCATCGCAATTGGTACCTCTGTATCTCAACGATTACCGAAGCGCACATCATGCTGTGGTTGATGCTTCATACTCTCCAAGGGTCTTTGGCATACAATGCACCAGTCTTGCATGTCTTCCAACCTCCAGCATGCCTTATCCTTCCTCTCCTTACCATCAGCATCACCATCAGCATCACCATCACCATCACCACCACCGCAATTTCTATCCCTGTGGCCTTCAGGTCACTGGCGTCGAACCATCTGTATGGCTCCATTCCCAACAGCGTCACCAACATTGCTGGTGTTATCTACTTGTAAGATACACTTGTGCACAGGTGCTGTCACAGGTAGATGCCTGCACTCACTTGCTCATACCTCACAACCACAAGTAAACTCCTTCCTCAGAAACTCGGTCTCAGAAGCCAGAAGCCAGGAACCTAATGCATATCCTAAAACCTAGCCAGGGCCTAAACAAGCACCTCCCACATCGCCTTCCTCCCTGCCTGCCCTGCTTCCTGTAAAGAAAAATCACATGCCTGGTGCACAACACCACCCCTTCCCCCCCCCCTTCCCTCCCATCCCCCTTCCGCCCCCTCCACAGCTTTCTATACCAGAACTACCTGACAGGGCCCGTGGTGAAGCCATGGGGCGCGTATGCAGATCTGTCCAACAACTACCTGTCGGGCCAGTTGGAGGAAAGCCCTTTCCCCGGAATGGAGAGTGATGATGCGCTCGGTGCCAACTGCCTCACTGCACCTGAGGGGGTCTCGTTGGCTCTGCAGCGGCCCGAGGCAGCCTGCCGGGCGTTCTGTGGCATCTCCATGCGCTCTGCTGCTGGTGATGGTGGTGGCGGTGGTGGTGCTGGTGGTGTTGCTTGTGGCGGGCGTGGGCTGTGCTATCCCGACGGGCCTAGCCTGGCGCCAACCTGCTTGTGCAAAGCGGGGTTCGTTCAGTTTGCAAGCATCTACTGCCTTGAGGAAGGTGAGAGAGAGTTGCAAGTGCAAGGGTACCTGTATTGTTTATTGTTATGTGTAGAGATACCAGCCCCATCCTTGGGTTTTCCTGCAGCTTCCCCCATCCTTGTTTTTGTTGAGGGGAGTTTGCCCCGCCCTTGCTTGGGTGAAGCCGAACTTATGGTTGGGTGCGCGGAAGGTGCAGCCGATTGCTCTCTGTGGTCGACGCCGACTAAGGCGAGGAAGTCGACGGGTTAGGTCGACTTTCACGGGACCACTGCGAAGCCGCCGGCGATGAAAAGTCGGCAGCCGACTTCGACTGGAGTGGTCGACGAAGGGGTTCGTCGATCTGCGGGGACGCCGACTCGGTGAAGTCGGCGGGTGGTATCGACCTGGACGATTGACAAGCACACACATCAGTTTGCGGGCTCCTACCGCTAAGTCGGCACCGTCTTGGCGGTTTCCTAGTCGACCAGTAACTAGGGCGACGAAATCTTGCGAAAGAGTGTGGACGTCGCCCATGAGGTTTTGACGAAGCCGACCTCGGGCTGTTATCCCGAGGTCGACGTAGGCTCAACCGTCGGCACGTGGCCGACTTGGCATCTGCGCATATGCGTGGCGGTGCACGTCGTGCCCAACCGTCTACAAGCACCTGCGAAGTAGGTGCGCGCACACGCAACTACAATCGCATGCGGTTGCAACTCTGGCAAGCCGCCTTGCTGCCGCGTTGGCCATCTTGCTTCAGCGTTGGCAGATTGCCGACTTGCTGCGCTGGCAGTCGACCTGCTTGTCTGCTAGGTTGCCTTGCATCTGATGTAGTCATTTGTTGCCTATCATTCTTCCATCATTGTTCTCATTTTTTGTTAGTGAAACTCTTGCCGTTTTGCCCTGTGAACGCACAAGTGTTAGAGAACACAACCAAATGCTACGTTCACTCGTACCACCCGTGCAGAGTGATTCTCCGCAGATTGCGCTTTCTGGAGTTGTCTTTCCCATCCTTCCCACAATTTTAGGCTCGCCATTCGCCTCCCACTCCTCTCTTCATACTCTCATCCACTCCCATTCTCTCGACCACTCCCGTTCCTTTCCTTCATTTCAACCTTCCTTTATTCCTCCCTTCCCTCCCCCGGTATCGTCTTTCCCATCCTTCGCACTCCCCTGCAGGCTCGGATCTAACCTCCCCGCTGGACAGGAATATTCTTCCGCCAGCAACCGTGCTCACTAAGGGAACAAGGAAGGAAACCAAAGGAGCCTTTACAAAAGAGCCAGTCACCCTGTTCGTGTTTGAGAAAGGCCGGGAGGACGAAGGGTGTGGGTTCGAGCTGGGCTTTAGTGTCAACTTTACCTTTGCCCTTTCACCTCAAGGCAAGGCCGCTTCCAATGGCTTTGCGTTTGTGGTGTCGGCAACAGCCACGGTGGGGAGCAGCGATGGAGTGGGGTATGGCAGGATGGATTCTCGCAGCATGGCGATCGAGTTTGACGTGCTTCAGAACATCCAGCATCTCGACATGAAAGAGCAGCACGTGGGGTTGAACATCAACGGGCAGGACAAATCGATGGCTGCTGTGAAAGCACCATTCATGCTGACCAACAAGCAGGTGAACACGGCATGGGTGGACTACGAACCTGGACTTTCCGGCACCATCCGGGTCTTCCTGGCTAAGGGGGCAGTGACGAGGGCTGGGAAGCCAGAGAAGCCGCTGCTGGAGAGGCGGCTGTCGCTGTGTGAGGTGCTGCGGGGAGGGGAGGAGGCGCAGCTGCAGGTGTTCTACTTTGGCTTCGTGGCGTCCACCACTGTCAAGCCGTTTATGAGTCAAGTCATTTTCAAGTCTGCCATGCATGCAGGTAACAACATGTCCATATGTTGCCACTGCCACTGCCACTGCCATGCAGCACAGTGCACACCCTGTGCCGCTGCTCATCGCTCCTTTCGCTTGGAGCAACCCCTTTTCCATCGTCCCTGCACGCTAGAAGCTTAGCTCTAGAATAAGCCATCCTGCTTGGCGAGAGGGTGAAAGAGCGTGACGGCAGGTTGATGGATGTCAAACACCTGCTTGGAAGCATCTGTCCACCCCAGAAACCTTTTCTTCGGTTCCAAACCTTGTTTTCTGTTCCATCCCGCACAGACATTCCACCACCACGGGCGCCAGTCGATGTCACTCCAGGCAAGGAACCTCTCACCATTCTCCCTTGTCCCGTGCCCCTTGTCATTGATTGCTGCAAGAATGCTCTGTTGCTTGGGTAGAAGAAGCCTCTGTGTCCTTGGCTTTGATGTCGGCTACTCCGGTTGCTCCAAGCAACTTATGAGACATCTCAAAGGTTGCCTCTGTATCCTTGGCTTTTATATCCGCTACTCCCGTTGCTCCAAACAGTCTATTTCCTTCCTTTTACGTCAGTGTTGTGAACCCTTTGCCGTAGCACTTCATTGCTGAGTAAATGGTTGGTGCTGATTTAGGTGGTGAGAAGCCTTAAGTTCACTGAGTAGCAGCCCGCCTGCCCTGCGTTGCCTCCCCTGCTGCCTGTCAGCTGGTAGCACCCTCCTGCGTCTCCGTGTTTCTCGTATTCTCCTCCTGGCGAGCTCTCTCTAAACTGTGTCTGGTCTTTGCTCAACACATTGAAGCATCTTCCAGGCTGCTCACTCCTGCCACTTCGCCACCCACTCCTCTCCCCCCTATACTCTGAAACTCTCCCTCTCTCTCTCTCTCTCACTACTCCTTAACAACACTTGCTCCCACTCAGCCTTGGGCCTGAACGTCACAGTGGACACGTATGCGCCGGTACGAGCGAGCCCGTTCTCGCGATATGTTAGTGCGGACTACCGATATTCGGCTGGGGAGCAGGACTCGTGGGTCTTCAGGGACCTCCACTCCTGGGACTCCGTGCCCTTCCTCGGCTGGCCCGTCAAGAACCAGGACGCCTGCAGTGAGTGCCAGAAGGAGGGGTTTTGAGGTGCCTAGATTCAAAGGACGCATGCAGTGAGTGCGTGTGCGACCAGGGGGGCGACTAACAATGCGCGTGGGGCAAGGCAGCCTTGTGGCTATCAGTGGTTTCATGAGCATGTTTCGCATCTTTGTTATCACCTGGTTTTTTGTTTGCTTCCTTCCTTTTCTCGTTTATCCGTGCTTGAGCTCCTTTGGTTGAGCTTGCAAGTTCCCACTTCCATTCAACCTTACCATCCGCATCGCATCTGTTCTTATTCCTCTCTCTCCGCCAGGCGCGTGCTGGGCGTTCGCAGTGGTGGCGAGCATAGAAGCAGCATACGGCATCGCAACAAAGGGAGAGGCGCCGCAGCTGTCAGTGGAGTCGCTCTTTGCAGCCATGGGGCTCACCTCTCAAGCAGACAAGTGCACCGCTGGAGGCTCTCCGACAGATGCCTTTGAGAAGCTGCTAGCCCTGCCCAAAGGAGGACTCACCCTGGCCGACAATCCGGTATGTCGAGCAAGCACGCTGGGTTGGCGTCAAGCTTTTTCAGGTTACCGTCTATATGCTAGTACGCTCTACTTTCGAAATATGTTCAACTTCGTACGAGCTGCCTGTAAAAAAAAAAAAAAAAAAAACACACACACACACACACAAAAAACAGTGGCTTGGAGACGACCACTGTTTAGAGTAAAAGCAATGTTGGGAGAAAATTTACGTAGTACGTAGTAAATGAACTTATAGGTACATAGTACGTGGCCCTCCCATCACAAAAATGGAAAGGCAAAAAAATATAGTTGACACTTGATCCCCGAGCCTTGGAGGATTGTCAAATTCCATTTAGGTTTGGATGATGGGTCCTTTGGTTGCTGCTAACGGTTTGTTTCTCCTGGTATCTGCATGTGTGTCCCAACTGTCGCACGTGACACATCTATGAATCACAGGGGAAAAAGTATCCCATCCAAGGATTTGAGCGCACATCATTCAAGGGGTATGTGGGGCTCATGCTGGCAGTGCAGCGGCAGCCAGTGGTGGTTCACATCGAAGCTTCTGCTGACACGTTCGCCACATATGACGGGGTGAGTGCTGGGAGGCCGTGTTAGTATCACTCGTTGTCTGGTGGTGCTTGAACACATGGTAAATGGATGCTACATGGTGGATGGATGATGCATGGTGGATGGATCAACCATGGTGGATGGATGCTGCATGGTGGATCGATCATGCATGGTGGATGGATGATGCATGTGATACATTATGTACCATCCGTATTTCCCCCAGATAGAGCCCCCTAGGGGGTGATGGGTTCCGTATAGGCTCCGTAAACACGGAGCCTATAAACAAATGAATGTTTTTAAGCTATTTTTGGAAAACGCTCTCAATAGCGGAAAACTCTACAAAGCAATGCGGGTCCTATAGTTGGCAGGTGGCTTATCGCATCTTTGCCTCATGTTAAGGCCCGGTTAAAAGGTGGGTCTCTATCCCGGGGAATACGGTATGTCATGGATTATGCATGTGATGGGTTATGCATGTGATGGGTTATGCATGTCATGGGTTATGCATGTGATGGGTTATGCATGTGATGGGTTATGCATGTCATGGGTTATGCATGTGATGGGTTATGCATGTGATGGGTTATGCATGTGATGGGTTATGCATGTGATGGGTTATGCATGTCATGGGTTATGCATGTGATGGGTTATGCATGTGATGGGTTATGCATGTGATGGGTTATGCATGTGATGGGTTATGCATATGATGGATGCTGATACACTTTCACATTCCTGTTTCCACCGTTCTTCTTGTCTCTCCCTCTGGTCTGTCTGCCAGACGTTCAAGTACCAGGACCCTGCCTGCTACAGCGGCAACCTGAACCACGTGGTGCTTGTGGTGGGCTATTTCATTCTGAGGGATGACGGCAGCCAGAGCCGCATTGCTCCGCCGTTTTGGATCATCCGCAACTCGTGGGGCGAGGGCTGGGGCGACAGGGGCCACATGCGCATGGACATTCAGGGAGGGGATGGCGTGTGTGGCATCAACGTGCTGCCTGGCATCTACCCCATTGTCAAGAGTGAGGGATCTATCTATCCCATTGTCAAGATGAAACCCTTCGACCTCTCTTCGAACTCATCCATCCTCAAGAGAGAGAGCAGCAGTATTCATTAGAGAGAATGAGCCGCACTAGAGATTTCAAGAGTTTCTCTTACTGATCGGGCAGCCAGAAACTTGTCGTCCATTTCCGCCCAATCAATCAATTCCATGAACCTCGATCTCATTCTCAGCCTATTCTCAATCAATGCGTTGCATCTCATTCCCTGCCCGCCCTCCTTCCCCGCCCGCCCCCCTTGTCCTCGCAGTCCCAGGGGATCCATGTGGCAGCAAGAGCTACAGGGGCGATTTGGACCCGCAGCCCAGCATGAACCCGTGTGGCCGATTCACCTGCAAGCCCAATGCCAAGACCAACAGCAACACGTGCACCTGCTCGATCCCCTCTGTGCCCAAGCAGCCCTTCGTGGAAGCGGCCAACGGCTATGGCAACACCTGCGCCTATGGTGAGATGAGACACACACATTTGAGGCGCCTCAAAAGTTGTTGGAAGCGGCCAACGGCTATGGCAACACCTGCGCCTATGGTGAGACACACAGACACCCATGGTCGTCTTTTGAGGAGCCTCAAAAGTTCCCTCTGCGCCTGGCAGCCTTTCGTGTAGGTTGCCTATGGCTAAGGCAATGCATGCGCTAATGGTGAGATAGGTAGACCCATGCAATGCAATGCAGTGACTGACATGGTTCTGTGCATGGTTAGGGTTTAGGGTTTCTGTATAGTATGACCAGGACCCACCTTTTTCTCTGCCCATGCAATGCAATCGTCCCGTGCAAAGACCGGTACTCGCCTTTTTTCCTTTCATCCCCTGCACCCTGCAGCACTAACGGTGGCACTGTGGCAGTCGATGCGTGTGGGTTGTGCATTAGGCACCGCTTTAGCCTTTAGCCCACTCCTCATCCCCCTCCACCACCCTCCTTTTACCATGCATGGCAGTGGACGTGTGTGGGTCATACTTGAAGCATACTTTAGCCTTTCGCCCCTCTTCATTCTCCTGTTCCACCCCACTTACCCGGTATGGCAGTGGATATGTGCGGGTTGTACTTGAGGCATCCCCTTAGCCTTGAGCCCCCTCCTCATCCTCCACTGTCGCCCCGCGTACCCGGTATGGCAGTGGACGTGTGCGGGTCGTGCTTGAAGCATCTCTTAGCCTTTAGCCCCCTCCTCATCCTCCACTGTCGCCCCTCTTACCCTTAATGGCAGTGGATGTGTGCGGGTCGTACTTCAAGAACCCCTGTGCCGTGGGCACATGCATCAACGATGGCAAGGGCTCCTACTCCTGCATCTGCCCTCCCAACCACGTCCCCAGCCGAACCATTGATGACTTCCCCACCTGCGACCCAGGTACGGTCAGACACTGCTCCTTCCCCACCTGCAACCCAGGTACGGTCAAACACTGCTCCCTCCCACCTGCCGCCCACGTGCACCTCTAAACCGACTCTTCCGACTCCTTGCTAGAACAAGGCTCGCTCTAGCCTCCGGCCTTCTGCTGCTGCACTGCACCTAAGCCCCGCTGTCCTCCTCCTTTCATGACAGTGGTGCCATGGTCAGAAATGCCAAGTCACACGCCCACTTCCATCTTTCAGTTGGAGTTGGAGTGCAATGCAACAATGCCAACTCTCTCTGTCTCGCACCAGCCCTATTTTGCACTAAACGATGCCTTCAAAGCGCAACTCCTCTCTTAGTGCCATTTTCATGACTTGCAGGGTGCTTTCGAGACTGGACAAAGAAACCTCATAAGGGTATCTCTCGTGCGCACTGGTGCACAATATGCACACGCAACTGATCTCCCTCCCTGCACACCTGCCCTGCCCCCTGTTTCCACCATAACACTCTCCCCCCTCCTCCCAGCCAACGAAACAGTCACGAGCCTGACAGTGAGCGGTGACAAGTGGGCGTGCGCGGACGTGTTTGGCCTCGTGGGGCTCTCCTCCTCGCAGTTCGCCCAGCAGAACCCGGTGAGAGGCTGGCAAGAGGGGCAGGTGAAGAATGGGGGGCGAGAATGGGAGGCGAGAATGGGAGGCGAGAATGGGAGGCGAGAATGGGAGGCGAGAATGGGAGGCGAGAATGGGAGGCGAGAATGGGAGGCGAGAATGGGAGGCGAGAATGGGAGGCGAGAATGGGAGGCGAGAATGGGAGGCGAGAATGGGAGGCGAGAATGGGAGGCGAGAATGGGGCGGCGAGAATGGGAGGCGAGAATGGGGAGGCGAGAATGGGAGGCGAGAATGGGAGGCGAGAATGGGAGGCGAGAATGGAGGCGAGAATGGGAGGCGAGAATGGGAGGCGAGAAGGGGAGGCGAGAATGGGAGGCGAGAATGGGAGGCGAGAATGGGAGGCGAGAATGGGAGGCGAGAATGGGAGGCGAGAATGGGAGGCGAGAATGGGAGGCGAGAATGGGAGGCGAGAATGAGCGAGAATGGGAGGCGAGAATGGGAGGCGAGAATGGGAGGCGAGAATGGGAGGCGAGAATGGGAGGCGAGAATGGGAGGCGAGAATGGGAGGCGAGAATGGGAGGCGAGAATGGGGATGCGAATGGGAGGCGAGAATGGGAGGCGAGAATGGGAGGCGAGAATGGGAGGCGAGAATGGGAGGCGAGAATGGGAGGCGAGAATGGGAGGCGAGAATGGGAGGCGAGAATGGGAGGCGAGAATGGGAGGCGAGAATGGGAGGCGAGGAATGGGAGGCGAGAATGGGAGGGAGAATGGGCGGGCGAGAATGGGGAGGCGAGAATGGGAGGCGAGAATGGGAGGCGAGAATGGGAGGCGAGAATGGGAGGCGAGAATGGGAGGCGAATGGGGAGGCGAGATGGGAGGCCGAGGAAGGGGAGGCGAGAATGGGAGGCGAGAATGGGAGGCCGAGAATGGGAGGCGAGAATGGGAGGCGAGAATGGAGGCGAGAATGGGAGGCGAGAATGGGAGGCGAGAATGGGAGGCGAGAATGGGAGGCGAGAAGGGAGGCGAGAATGGGAGGCGAGAATGGGAGGCGAGAATGGGAGGCGAGAATGGGAGGCGAGAATGGAGGCGAGAATGGGAGGCGAGAATGGGAGGCGAGAATGGAGGCGAGAATGGGAGGCGAGAATGGGAGGCGAGAATGGGAGGCGAGAAGGGAGGCGAGAATGGGAGGCGAGAATGGGAGGCGAGAATGGGAGGCGAGAATGGGAGGCGAGAATGGGAGGCGAGAATGGGAGGCGAGAATGGGAGGCGAGAATGGGAGGCGAGAATGGGAGGCGAGAATGGGAGGCGAGAATGGGAGGCGAGAATGGGAGGCGAGAATGGGCGGCGAGAATGGGCGGCGAGAATGGGAGGCGAGAATGGGAGGCGAGAATGGGAGGCGAGAATGGGAGGCGAGAATGGGAGGCGAGAATGGGAGGCGAGAATGGGAGGCGAGAATGGGAGGCGAGAATGGGAGGCGAGAATGGGCGGCGAGAATGGGCGGCGAGAATGGGAGGCGAGAATGGGAGGCGAGAATGGGAGGCGAGAATGGGAGGCGAGAATGGGAGGCGAGAATGGGAGGCGAGAATGGGAGGCGAGAATGGGAGGCGAGAATGGGAGGCGAGAATGGGAGGCGAGAATGGGAGGCGAGAATGGGAGGCGAGAATGGGAGGCGAGAATGGGAGGCGAGAATGGGAGGCGAGAATGGGAGGCGAGAATGGGCGGCGAGAATGGGAGGCGAGAATGGGAGGCGAGAATGGGAGGCGAGAATGGGAGGCGAGAATGGGAGGCGAGAATGGGAGGCGAGAATGGGAGGCGAGAATGGGAGGCGAGAATGGGAGGCGAGAATGGGAGGCGAGAATGGGAGGCGAGAATGGGAGGCGAGAATGGGAGGCGAGAATGGGAGGCGAGAATGGGAGGCGAGAATGGGAGGCGAGAATGGGAGGCGAGAATGGGAGGCGAGAATGGGAGGCGAGAATGGGAGGCGAGAATGGGAGGCGAGAATGGGAGGCGAGAATGGGAGGCGAGAATGGGAGGCGAGAATGGGAGGCGAGAATGGGAGGCGAGAATGGGAGGCGAGAATGGGAGGCGAGAATGGGAGGCGAGAATGGGAGGCGAGAATGGGAGGCGAGAATGGGAGGCGAGAATGGGAGGCGAGAATGGGAGGCGAGAATGGGAGGCGAGAATGGGAGGCGAGAATGGGAGGCGAGAATGGGAGGCGAGAATGGGAGGCGAGAATGGGAGGCGAGAATGGGAGGCGAGAATGGGAGGCGAGAATGGGAGGCGAGAATGGGAGGCGAGAATGGGAGGCGAGAATGGGAGGCGAGAATGGGAGGCGAGAATGGGAGGCGAGAATGGGAGGCGAGAATGGGAGGCGAGAATGGGAGGCGAGAATGGGAGGCGAGAATGGGAGGCGAGAATGGGAGGCGAGAATGGGAGGCGAGAATGGGCGGCGAGAATGGGCGGCGAGAATGGGCGGCGAGAATGGGCGGCGAGAATGGGCGGCGAGAATGGGAGGCGAGAATGGGAGGCGAGAATGGGAGGCGAGAATGGGAGGCGAGAATGGGAGGCGAGAATGGGCGGCGAGAATGGGCGGCGAGAATGGGCGGCGAGAATGGGAGGCGAGAATGGGAGGCGAGAATGGGAGGCGAGAATGGGAGGCGAGAATGGGAGGCGAGAATGGGAGGCGAGAATGGGAGGCGAGAATGGGAGGCGAGAATGGGAGGCGAGAATGGGAGGCGAGAATGGGAGGCGAGAATGGGAGGCGAGAATGGGAGGCGAGAATGGGAGGCGAGAATGGGAGGCGAGAATGGGAGGCGAGAATGGGAGGCGAGAATGGGAGGCGAGAATGGGAGGCGAGAATGGGAGGCGAGAATGGGAGGCGAGAATGGGAGGCGAGAATGGGAGGCGAGAATGGGAGGCGAGAATGGGAGGCGAGAATGGGAGGCGAGAATGGGAGGCGAGAATGGGAGGCGAGAATGGGAGGCGAGAATGGGAGGCGAGAATGGGAGGCGAGAATGGGAGGCGAGAATGGGAGGCGAGAATGGGAGGCGAGAATGGGAGGCGAGAATGGGAGGCGAGAATGGGAGGCGAGAATGGGAGGCGAGAATGGGCGGCGAGAATGGGAGGCGAGAATGGGAGGCGAGAATGGGAGGCGAGAATGGGAGGCGAGAATGGGAGGCGAGAAATGGGAGGCGAGAATGGGAGGCGAGAATGGGAGGCGAGAATGGGGAGGCGAGAAATGGGAGGCGAGAATGGGAGGCGAGAATGGGAGGCGAGAATGGGAGGCGAAATGGGAGGCGAGAATGGGAGGCGGAGAATGGGAGGCGAGAATGGGAGGCGAGAGAATGGGAGGGCGAGAAATGGGAAGGCGAGAATGGGGAGGCGAGAATGGGAGGCCGAGAATGGGAGGCGAGAAATGGGAGGCGAGAATGGGAAGGCCGAGAAAAAAAATGGGAGGCGATGAATGGGGAGGCGAGAAAAATGGGAGGCGAGAATGGGAAGGCGAGAAATTGGGAGGCGAGAATGGGAGGCGAGAAATGGGCAGGCGAGAATGGGAGGCGAGACATGGGGAAGGCGAGAAATGGAGGCGGAATGGGGGAGGGCGAGAATTGGGAGGGCGAGAATGGGAGGCGTAAATGGGAGGCGAGAATGGGAGGCGAGAATGGGAGGCGAGAATGGGAGGCGAGAATGGGAGGCGAGAATGGGAGGCCGAGAATGGGAGGCCGAGAATGGGAGGGGAGCGAGAATGGGAGGCGAGAATGGGAGGCGAGAAGAATGGGAGGCGAGAATGGGAGGCGAGAATGGGAGGCGAGAATGGGAGGCGAGAATGGAGGCAGAATGGGAGGCGAGAATGGGCGGCGAGAATGGGAGGCGAGAATGGGAGGCGAGAATGGGAGGCGAGAATGGGAGGCGAGAATGGGAGGCGAGAATGGGAGGCGAGAATGGGAGGCGAGAATGGGAGGCTAGAATGGGAGGCGAGAATGGGAGGCGAGAATGGGAGGCGAGATGGGAGGCGAGAATGGGAGGCGAGAATGGGAAGGCGAGAATGGGAGGCGAGAATGGAGGCGAGAATGGGAGGCGAGAATGGGAGGGGCGAGAATGGGAGGCGAGAATGGGAGGGCGAGAATGGGAGGCGAGAATGGAGGCGAGAATGGGAGGCGAGAATGGGAGGCGAGAATGGGAGGCGGATGGGAGGCGAGAATGGGAGGCGAGAATGGGAGGCGAGAATGGGAGGCGCGAGAATGGGAGGCGAGAATGGGAGGGCGAGAATGGGAGGGCGAGAGATGGGAGGCGAGAATGAGGGAGGGGCGAGAATGGGAGGGCGAGAATGGGAGGGCGAGAATGAGGCGAGAATGGGAGGCGAGAATGGGAGGCGAGAATGGAGGCGAGAATGGGAGGCGAGAATGGGAGGCGAGAATGGGAGGCGAGAATGGGAGGCGAGAATGGGTAGGCGAGAATGGGCGGCGAGAATGGGAGGCGAGAATGGGAGGCGAGAATGGGAGGCGAGAATGGGAGGCGAGAATGGGAGGCGAGAATGGGAGGCGAGAATGGAGGCGAGAATGGGAGGCGAGAATGGGAGGCGAGAATGGGATGCGAGAATGGGAGGCGAGAATGGGAGGCGAGAATGGGAGGCGAGAATGGGAGGCGAGAATGGGAGGCGAGAATGGGAGGCGAGAATGGGAGGCGAGAATGGGAGGCGAGAATGGGAGGCGAGAATGGAGGCGAGAATGGGAGGCGAGAATGGGAGGCGAGAATGGGAGGCGAGAATGGGAGGCGAGAATGGGAGGCGAGAATGGGAGGCGAGAATGGGAGGCGAGAATGGGAAGGCGAGAATGGGAGGCGAGAATGGGAGGCGAGAATGGGGAGGCGAGAATGGGAGGCGAGAATGGGAGGCGAGAATGGGAGGCGAGAATGGGAGGCGAGAATGGGAGGCGAGAATGGGAGGCGAGAATGGGAGGCGAGAATGGGAGGCGAGAATGGGAGGCGAGAATGGGAGGCGAGAATGGGAGGCGAGAATGGGAGGC